CCCTTCTTTCTAGTACCACTTTTGTCAAAACCTATAAGCCCTACCCTGCATGTATAGACACCAGAAACAAATTATGTGAATTTTATCATCATGAGCTATGCAAACCTGGCTAACAGGTAATTATAGACATGGATAAAAGACTTGTGTGCCACAGCTGCCATTAACAGATCATCTATGCCAGGCCACACCTCTTGGCTACTCTGCCATGCTGTATATGGATTTGAGCACCAGCAACAGAGACCCTGCATTTGTTTTTGCCCCTCTCCCTTCTCCAGTTTTTAATCTCTGAGTCTCCATTCATTCATTTGTATATAGCTATTTTCTTATTATTTTTACAGTACGCACTTGTAAATATTTTATAGACAATACTAACATATACATATTTATAGTAATATTTACATACTATGTATTACTATATAATAGTTGTCAAGTAATACTGACATTATAACCTGATAATTTTTTTCATTTACTTTTTTAAAGATTCATTTATTTTTTATTGGAAAGTCAGATATCCAGAGAGAAGGAGAAACAGAAAGATCTTCTGTCTGCTGATTTACTCCCCAAGTGGCTGCAACAGCTGGAGCTGAGCCAATACAAAGCCGGGAGCTGGGGGCCAGGATCCAGGAGCCTCCTCCAGGTCCCCCGTGCAGGTGCATGGTCTCAAGACCTTGATGTGTCCTCTCCAGCCTTTCCAGTCTACAACCAGGGAGCCGGAGGGGAAGTGGAGCAGCCAGGATCAGAGCTGGCGACCACATGGGATCCTGGTGCATGCAAGGTAAGGACTACAGCCACAAGGCTACCTCATCCATTCCTCTGATACTTTAAATCATGCCTTCCTAGTGTGCTTCTTTTTAAAATTCAGATGACTAGCTTCATAAAATAGATCATATTCAATGTACAACAAACAGCTATATAACTTTGGTGCCATCTAGATTCTCAATTGTTAATCTCTCCTAACGTTTACTCAAGTGCTATCAAAGGCATCGTTTGTGGCACAGCTGTCATGATATACCTATCAGAATAAGGGCAAAACCTGGTACATCTGAAACATCTGAGCAGGTGCCAGAGGTCCAACATCTAACCTCAGTATCTCACTGTATGTAGCATCCTAGAGAAGGTGAATAACTTCTCTGGACCCAAAGGATTACCATTACCAACACATGGGGGCAAGGATGGCTCTCGGGAAATCCAAGGGTTAAGATCTACACAAAGCTGTTATGAAAGCTACAATGAGCATTTCCATGGGCTCAATTTGCAACATGTAAAATGTACCAATATCTGCAGCAAAAAGTCATGTGCACCAAGCAACTCCCTTCTCTTCACTGTATATTACTTCTCAATACAGCCAAAGAGGCAAGCATGGTGAACATAAGCAAATGGAGGATAGGGAAGGGGTAACTTGCCTTAGATGACCAGATCACTGAGGAGCAAAACAAGAGTTCCTACCCACACCGTCTGCTCCCAGAGCACACCCTCTGCTTTCAATGCAACTCTCTTTCAGAGCCATTATTTAAGGAACATGGGCCGTGCCCAAGTTCACTCTCTTGCTGGTTTATTCCAAGAGTTGTTCCTTCCCACAGGCAGCCATATTTTTATTTCCTAGTCCTAATGAATCAGCAAGATGATTCACTCATTCAAGGATGAAATCTTTTTTGAATTACTTAAATTTTTAAAAATGGTGAATATGTATACACAACAAATCTCATTGTTATCTGAAATTCACTGGCAGAGAAGGATATGGTTATAATTAGTTTGCCTTCTCATCCTTGTCATGAAGCTACCCAAGGCCTTTCTATTGGGATAGCCATCACTGTCGTTTTCTTGAATTTCACTCTACAATATTCTAAATATTTTCTAAATTAGATATATGACTCAAAACATTCACCATTTACAATGTTGCAACTTTTTTGTTTTGCTATACAATAATTCTGGGATTAGTTCACGTAGGTGATATACAGTATCTCTAGATTTTGTTTAATATTAGAGGAGTATTCCATAATTTATTTAATCATTCCTGAACAAATGAATATTTAACATTGATACAATCAATATTTTTATATTCACATACTTATATTCCTATAAATGGAACTGCTGAGTCAAAGGATGTGTGCCTTGTAACATTTTATTAAACTATCTAATTGTCGTCCTTATAGTTGTTCCAGTTCGTGTGACCACTGAAGATGCGGCACTGTCACTGAGCTTGACTATTTCTATACCCTCATCAAATAATCTTACAAGAATGTTTGAATTTCCCAATTGGCCAAAAAATTAATTGCATTTTTATTTCTCTTGTTTTGACTAGAGTTTCAGTCTATGCTTTGTGAATCACGTGCTTTTATTTGTGAAATTTTGGTTTATATTATTCATTTTTTTCTACAGTTGTTTCATTTTTCCTGTGGGATTATAGGAACTTCTCAGATGAGAGAAAATAATCCTTATTACCTGAGGTGTTTCCATCTAGTTATTTGCATCTAATTTCTAGGAATTTCCATCTAGTTATTGTATCTAGTTATCCATCTAGTTTCTAGGTATTTCCATCTAGTTATTCTATCTGTAAGAAGGGTTAATTTTCTCAGTATTTTACTTGTGTTATCTTCTGGTTTTATTCCATGCTTAGAAATGTCACTTGGGTTAAGACGGTATTCCAGACTTTTTTCCCAGTACTGTGTAGCACCAGACTTTATTATGGTGTGTGATAACACTCTAGATGTAGTTTGCTTATTTTCCAGATGGGTAGTCAGTTGTCACAATACATTTTATTGAATCATCCATGTGATATGAAATGTCAGCTTTATTATTTGTGAAATTCTTTTATTGGGTCTATTCTTCGATTTTTTGCTGATCTGACAATCAACAAACACACACCACATAGTATTTTAATTACTGCAGCTGAATAGTGTGTGTTTTACTCTCTGGTGATACTAATTTGTCTCCTATAACATTGTTTTGGCTATTTTTATAAACTTAGAATAACTGATTAGAATATTTCTTACAATTTTGGTGTACTTACAAACTATGTGGGGAAAACACATACTTTTAAGGACACTGAATCTTACCATGCATGAATGCTAAGTACTTTTCGCATTGGGTTCTTACTCTAGTATTCTCCTCCCTTCTTTTGGTGAATCTTTATAATATTTAAAAGGCTCTTTTTTAAAAAAAAATACAAGTCTTCCTTTATTACAGTTACCCTTTAAGTTAGGAATACATTCCTACTCGGATAACCATTATATAACATCATTGTATATGTTAGACACCTATAAAAAATTGAGTTACAAATATGTAAGTTATGGTAACTTTGAAAAAAATTCCCTTTAGATCTTTTTGAGAAAAATAGTAAGTGAATGTTTAGAGCACTTGAAAATATTTTCAAATTCATTGTGAAAAATGATGAACTCTACTGTAAAAATAGTTTACTAAGTGTTCACCTGAACTAGCTGATATGTGATATAAGAAAAATATTCAAGAAAGCACTTAGGAGAATCAAGTTGCTACTTTACTTAGAGGAATGCACTACATTTCAAATGATCAATATTCTAAAATAGCTGCCCTATAAATAAGCTGCTGGGACAATGTATGCTGAATAATGATGCATTGTGAAAAACTTTGTTGTGTACTACTATAATTATTTGTTGACAAGTTATGACCTCTGTGTTTGAGAGTAAGGTAGTGACATAAATGCTTAAAGCAATAGAGAGCCCACAGTCACACGCTGCTTTTTTTTTTAATAGTCTCTCTACTGATTTTGATTTGTATCCCTTCAAAATATTGGATTCCAAGGCACAGGCATCATGAGGGTAAACAGGCAAATGTTTTCAGAAATGGATAATACTAATAAAAAACAACCCATAGGGTCCCATGATCATAGGTTTGGTACAAATAATGACATTCTTATTGTAAAATGGTTACATATACATGACATTTCTGGAATGGACTATGACATAGTAGAACCACTTGGCAAAGTACAACAACATGAAAAGGAAATAATGGGTAGGGACAATTTGCTTCAACTAAAGCTACTGCGTACCTATAATAAGGTCATCGGTGGTAGTGATAAACATGATTGGTTCATTTGCAAGAATTGCAATTCAGTTATAAGTAAAAAGTGGTATTGGCTTGTATTTACTTGAATGGTGTATGTGTCATAAAAGCATGGACCATTCACAAAGATAATCATCTGACAAATTTGATGACATTCAGAGACCTCTGCTTAGCATAGTTAGAACCATGCAATGAGAAATCATCAGGAGGAAGAAAGAATAATACTTCCAGATCCTCCACGGTCCAAGATCATGCTATTCTGAAGTGACAAGAATAATGATGGCAAAGAAACCACTGTTGTGTGAAATGGACAGTATATTGTCAAAAATGTTAAGTATTCCTTTGAAGTATTTTGCTCCTTTTCACTAAAAGTAACTATTGAACTGATCTTGAAATTCATGTCTTTTTCTATTATGCAATATATGAAAGAACACAATTTTTGTCCAATATTCTATCCATAGGATGGCTTATACACACAGAAGATACTATACCATCCCAGTATCTTATTTATAGGACAATCTGTATTTTCATTATCAACCATCATAAAGGATATGTATGTTCCAGATTATGATATACAACCAATTTTAATACACCTGTGTCAATGTTATCAGAATATTCCCAGAATTAAAAACTCAAGATGTTTTAAAAAAACCACACACAGGTCTTATTTCTAAAAAGATCATAATTTCATATACATATCTTTAGTTTTGGCTAAGTGACAGGTTCCTAAATTTAGCAAACTTAGGACTAAAATGTTCACTATAGTCATACAATATATCTTTTTTCATTCTAGCTGAGAAATTCTTTTCTCTTAAAATGTTTTAGAATGAAACAGTTCTTTCCAGAGTTTTAGCAACCTTTGTTCTAGGTTAGCTGCAGCTGCAATTTTGGAAATATATATATCCTGGTGGTGTTACAGTGCATATTATCAATTTTTATTAAAAAAACAGCAAACTTACCTCCTAAGTTCATTCCTGCTTGGAGACATTTCTGAAGTCGGCAGGCAGGACAATTCTTTCGTCGAATCTTATCGATGATGCAATCATTTCTTCCAGCACATAAATAGTTGTGCTGCCCTGATTTAAAAATATAAAGAAAAGTCAAAATAAAGGTTAGTAAACTAGTATAAAATATAAATTTGTATGGACAACATATGAAAGTTATTTCTTAATCTTGAAAATCTCTTAAAAAATATAGATGGTGGGGGCAAGTACTATCACCTGGAATGGCCACATTGTATTGCACTGGAGTACAATTGCTACTCCCAGTTTCTCTGCTCCTGCTCTAGCTTCCAGCTAGTGCTTCCCCTGAAGAGGCAGAGGATGATGGTTCAGGTACCAAGGATGCTATCACCCATGTGGGAGACCCAGACAGAATTCCAGGATCCTGGCTTTGGGTTGGCCTGGCCTGGTCCAGCCTGGATGTTCCAAGCACTTAGGGAGTAAACCAGAAGGGAAGATCTCTGATTCTGTTTCTGTTTCGCTCGATTCTTTCAAGTGGATGAAAACAAATACACATTTTAAAATATACTAGATGTTTGAAACATACAGAAGGAAGCTATGATTTATGGCTAATATAAACAAAGCTATGGCCAGCTGAATGTACTTGAGACTTCAGATTGCTGAAGATAACCTTACATGTGTTTCCAAACAGCTTCTCAGGTAGACAGGGCCACACTGTCCACAGTCTGAACTTGGTGGGCAGCTGTGTGGATCTCGGCAATGGTGTAATCTTTCCTCGGGCACCACAATAAGCACCACTGCAAACAAAAGCTCTGCTCTGTTTGCCTACCACTGACATGTGTGATTTCACTGGGAAGTCTTTCAAATTACATAACAGGAAATGTTTATTTCATTCTGCACAGCAATCTAGAGCTTAAAAAAAAATCAGAAGCAGGCTCAGCATCAGCTTTGAAAATAGCATCAAAATATGAAATCTGTAGCCTAACTCTACTACCCAAATACTTATTCAAATATTCGCTGAACATCTCTTGGGTTCCAGGCACTAGCACCATCACTGAGGATACAGAAAGGAACAAGACAGTTTCAGCTCTAGTTAGCTTTCTATACTGCGGAAAGAGACAACAGACAAGGCAAGTAGCTAAAATGTCCAAAATGTCAGTTCTAAGTGTTATGAAGAAAGAAATGAAAGGGAGGAGCATTTAGCACAGTGGAGGTGGATGAGGGAGTTCAAACTTCACAGTGCTTACAGGAAGGGCCTCAGAGGACGCTAACGTTTAAGTCCTGGTCTACAGAACCTTCCTTCTAACCTTGTAGGCATTTGGGGGAGGATAAAACTAGTGAGATGGGGGCAAGTCTGGGTGGAACAGCTTAGGAATCATCAGGATATCACGGTTAATTGATAGGCAAGAATGAGTAGTGAGTACATGGAGATGAGGATGAAGAGTTAGTATCAGATCATGCAGCCTTAGAGAGCATGTTCAAGACTGGCTTCAACTCTGAGCAGGATAGAAGCTGCTGAACTACACGGCTTTGAGCCAAAGTCATTTAATGTGATTTATACCTAACAGGATCACTCTTGCTGTTGTGCTGAAAGCAGGGCAACAAGCTGAGAACGGGAGCCGAGAGACTGGGGCAGGGAGCTGTCGTAACACACAGGAGAAAGGAAAGCAGATCGGGACGATGTGACCCAGTGGGGAGAGTCTAGGTGTTTGTGAAGGGCTGCTAGAATTGACAGGTAAGAGTGAAAGGGGAGTTAGGAGGCATCAGGATTTGGGGGCTGCACATGCAGAAAACTGAGCTAGTCTGGGGCATGTTTTGGCTAAGATGCTCAACAGGTGCCCATGCAGAAGTATGGGTAGATTCCCCAAAGTCTGGGGTTACAAAGAGGTCTGGATGGGAGATATAATCAGTATGGTTGTTAAACTCTTGAGACTGGGTGAGAGCACAGGTGGGTGAGCACAAATGGCAAAAGGAAGAGGTCTGAGGACCGAGTCAGAGCCACTGAAAATATGCAAAGCACACAGGGAGTCCCGAAACCACTACACCGCAGTGAACAGGCAAAAGCACTCCTGTCTGCCAATCCTACCGTATTCTGCCACTCTTGCTGTATTCCCTTAGTGGAGAAGTAGTTATCACGTCAACATTCAGTGAAATTAATTATGTGCCACTTCATATACTTGATCTTAGCCAAAAGCCTGAGAAGCGACAATGCCACTTAATATAAATAAAAAATTTAATCTGGAGTGCATTGTCTATAACATTGCAGCAAATCTTAGTAATAAATAAACAGTAAGAGAATAGAGAAGTTCAATATCAAAGTGAATAAATGAAACGCAAGTATAATAATCTTTGCTTCTTTAAGAAGTAAAATTGAGGGCTCTGAATAAAAATATGCCTGGAAAAGAGGGTGAATGCTTAATATAACATTTCATGGGGCTATACAATATGTTAGGGATGACATCGCTACTTTTAAACTGTTATAGCTCCCTTGGAGAACTGTCTAATTTATCACAGCTTCATGACATGGATGAGGCAGCTATTATTATTGTTACTGTCACAAGGAGAAACTCAGGCGAGAACTGGTGGAGTAACTTCCTTCCCAAAGGGATTTAGATGATCTGAATAGCATAACAGTCAAGGCCTTGGTTTTGCTAAACGCAAATTTATAGTATACTTGACTGTACTAGAGGTCCAGCAACATCCTGCAAGTATTGTCTGAAAATAGCGAGCAAAGGAATGTTCTTGGGTGAGGTATACCTACTCTGCTGAGACAATTTCCACTGGCAACCAGCAGCATGTGCCTTCTGCATAGTGCAAGATTGAAGATCAAGCCACAGATCTCATTCTAAACTCACACTGATCTGAACAAACTTTGATTTCTAAAGAAATAGCTAAATGCAATGCTGTTCCAATTCAGTGAGTGTTTATAGGGACCTTTGATGTAGACAAGGTCACAAAACAATGAAATCAGGGGTTGGTCTGAGGTGTTCTAAGGTCCTTGCCACATCTGTGACTTTTATAGCAAAAGTAATGGAGCCTTTTAGATTATAATCATGTAAGAATAAATAATGGGCCTAGCACAATGGCTCAGTGGCTAAATCCCCACTCTGCATATGCCAGCTTCTGCATGTCCCAGCTTCTCCACTTCCCTTTCAGCTCCCTGCTTGTGGCCTGGGAAAGCAGTCAAGGAGGCCCAAAACCTTGGGACCCTATACCCACATGGGAGACCCAGAAGAAGTTCCTGGCTCCTGGCTCCTGGCTCCTGGCAATAGGCTCATTTCTGTCTGTTGTGGCTATTTGGAGAGTGAATCTGCAGATGGAAAATATTTCTCTCTGTCTCTCCTTCTGTCTGCAAATCTGATTTTCCAATAAAAAGAAATAAATCTTTAAAAAATAAGAAACAGCCATTGTCACATACAGACATGAAGATTTTCTTTTCTAGAGGCTTAAAAACAGTGTTCCTAAAGTTGAGTTTTTCTTAAATGAATATCCATAAGATATCCATTAAGAACAAGTTCTTTCCTATTGCAACATTTCATCTTTCACAAATGGGGCTTGAAATTTCTTAGAGGCTATACAGATATGTCAAAATAATTTTCAAAAAAATGCTCTTATCAATATTTTTGGGTGTATAGAGGTTTTTAGAGAAATATTTTGCAGTGCTTTGGATGTTTATCATTAAGAAAAGAGAGTGGGGGGGGGGAGAGTGAGATGAGTGAGTGAGGGAGAAAGAGAAAAAAAAGAGAGGAATCATCTGATCTCTCACCTGCTGGGTCACTCCCCCGAAGCCTGTAACCTCATGGGCTGGGCCAGACCAAAGAAAAGGATCAGGCACTTCATCCAGGTCTCTTACTTTGGCAGCAGGAACTCAGGTACTTTAGACAACCTCTGCTGCCTCCCAGAATACACAATAGTAGGAAATTGGATGGAAAGGAACGTAGCTGGGTCTTGAAACGACACTCTGATATGATATGCAGGCATCCCAAGCAGTAGCTGAAGCAGCTCTCCCATGGGATTTGCCCCAACTTCAAAGGTTGAAATTGTACTTATATAAGCATGCAATGTATATCATATCCAACAATACATATGAAAAAAACAGGAGTTCCAAACATAACAGAATCACAGGAGAATGCGTCAAGAAGATCCAAGAATCTTTTCATCATGAGCTTAGGTTTAGACACATTAACCTGAAGGTTACATACTAGCTAGGTGGGATGGAAGCAGGGACCCTGCTATCAGCACATTTGAAAGGTCTCAGAGATGGCCTCTGTAGAAACGAGGAGTTATGGCTAAGATGGAACAGATAGAATAATCCTAAGATTTAAAATCATCTTGGTGCAAAGCAAAATAAGTTTTTTTCCCCCCATGAAAGGTAAATGCTCACGGTGAAGAGAACTCCAGTTTGAGGCACTGGTTGGAGTCACAGCTGTTCTACTTCTCATCAAGCTCCCTGAAAATGCATCTGGGAAAACAAGAGAAGCTATGTCCAATCCGTGGGCCTCTACCATCCACACCGCAGCCCTGATTGAGCTCCAGATTCCTGGGTTTCACCTGGCCCAGCTCTGGCTGCTGTGTCCATTTCGGGGATAAATAAACAGATGCGAGACTCTCTGCTTTTTAAATATAAATCTCTCTCTCTTTTGCAATAGTAAGGCAGAAAACAAGCTTTTTGGGTTGCAAGAACATCTAGAAACTAGAAGCGGAAATTCTGGAAAGGAGAGTGTTAGCAGGAGGTGAACTGGAAGAGACAAATCCATGTAGCAATAGCCCCCAAATTTTGGGCTGATGCCTTGAGTGATCATGAGGTTCCAGAATGCAGGGCTAAAGTGATAACTGCAGGCTGGAAAAACTGCCTGGACGTTTCAGCCGCTGCTATCTGAAAGGATGACAGGGTTTGAATCCCATTAAATTGGAAGGATTCAATAAACACCTCGGCCTTTCCATTAAAATTCCAGAAAGTTCATGCCATAGGAAGAAATATTATACCCTAGGATTAAGGGATGATCAAAATAGACTCATCCTGAAAAAAGTGAAAAGCAAAGGCTCTACAAGTTCCAAGTGACCGTCAGTGATGTAACTGATAGCTAGACAAAAACCCAATCCCATCAGAGAAA